ATTAGCATCTTAGTTTTGTGTAATCTGCGGAATCTGCGGCAAAAAAAGTAACGGATCTACGAAAATTTCTTCGTCTGATCCTTATGCCCAAAACTCAACTTCATCTTCTTACTCGGACCAGAAAAATTTAATTTCACCCCCTTGGTATTCTCAGCACTCTCACCTGAACTTTTCGGAATATAATTTTTGCCACGCTTTTTTAAATTGCTCCATGGAATTAAAAGATTCATGTTGGATTCTCCTTTAAAGTTGTAAAGACCATTCACTACATAAAGATTAAGAATATTAGAACCAACCTCCAGTTCTTCAATCTGCATCTCGTAGCCCCTGATTTTAAAGGTCTCTACGAGCTCTGTAAATTCTACATCATTAAAGTCGCGATTACGAAATAAAAAATTAGAGAGACTTTGCACCGGCTCATAATTGATCAAATGTCCGTTTACAAGTTTTAATTTTACATCGCCGATCATGGTCTCAGGTTTTAAATTCATTTTTTCGTCGAGGTCGGATTTAAATTTTGCGTCTACGGTAATGTTACCTTTAAGATTGGAACTAACTATAGCTTGCTGCCCGAAATTTTCAAACTGCTCAAATAACCGGGTTACATTTACATTCTGAATGTTCATGTCTGCGCTTACCTTTTCAAAATTCTGCACGTTTGCTTTTGCCACTATTTTTCCATCACAGGTATTGATAGACGCAGATTTAATGTTTAACGAATTACCTCTGTAAGACATGTCCACAGTAGCATTATTGCCTTCGATTTTTCTGAACACTAATTTTTTCGCGAATAAATTTATATTGAATTCAAACTGACCTTGAGAAATTTTATCAACCGGAGCAGAAGTATTTTGTTTTGTAATCTTTTCTTTTTCGGGAGTATCGGTCTCTGACTTCACAAAGAGAGGATTTAAATCTAATTTTTCAGTCCTCGCGGAAGCGTCTGCTTTAAAGCCTTTACTAAGTCCAAACAAGTAAGGTACAAACCCTTCCGCTTTTCCTTTTACGAGTGCATCAGTAATATCTGTCTTCACGCGGAGATTATCGAATTGTAAATCGCGGTTATTTAAACTTGCATTTCCATTCACAGTATACACATAGGGTCGATCTAATTCTTTGTAACTTAGATTTTTAAAAGTTAAGTAAGCCGTTAAACTCATTGGACTCTGTAAAAACTGCGCCTTGTTGAGCATGTCAGTCGGTCCACTGTAGTGAAGTTTGGCCGTAG